CCCATTAGTCAATTGGTTGGGCTTTTAGGTCACTTTGGGCCTCATTGGGCCCATTAGGGTTTTATTAGGTCGATTAGGGTTTCCTTGGGCCCATTAGGGCTTCATTGGGCCCACTTTGTCCAAGCATCCCCCAAACGAGTCAAACACAACAAGGCAAGCACACCGCCACCCGACACGGCGGCCGGTGACGTCAGCCACCACCTTACGGTGGTGGTTTAGAGTTTTCTTACTTTTCCGATCGATTACAATGTTACAACACGATATCCAAATACACACAAACACACACTAAGCTACACACACTCATAAATAACACACACACACACAGCCACACTGTGGCGGCAGGTGGTGGTCGGAGGTGCTAGCCACCACCTCACGGTGGTGGTGGTGGCCCTCTTGTGTCTTCCGTCCAAAAATCACACACCCACACTCTAATGCTCGAAATGAGTCAAGCCACCCACCTAATGGCGTGTGGCGGCAGTGTAGAGGGTGACATCAGCAGCAACGGCTAACGGCAGCGTTGTCGGCGACAGCCACCATGGTCGGCTGCCATGGTGGTTCTTCACGGCTCCCATTCGACAGAAACCACACACACACGAAATCTCACTGCAAATCACGAACCATAGTCACTAATACGAGAAGAAATACCGAGAACACCCATCCTTGCGACACACGGCTGAAACACACACACGACATCCACCCTTGGGGGTGGCGGATGTTGACCGGAGTTCAGAATAAATGTCCTGTGAGCGGCGGCGGGCGGAGTTGGAACGTTGCACCGAAGAAACAACGACGACGATTGCGGTTTGCGACTGACAGCAGCGACGACGGCGACTTCAGTCGCTCATAACACACACGTCGGTGTTCACGACTCCAAAACGATCTTCGACGGTTCTCTCTCTCGGCCGGTTACGTCGTCCGACAACAAGGTCCGTCGGTGGCCTTGGGCGATCGGAGCATCAATTTGAGGAAGGGAGGTGGCCGCTGGACAATGGGGAAGAAGATGGCGGCTGCACATAAGATTTAGGGTTAGGGTTTGTGGTTACGTGGTGGTGAACGGTTAAATACCCACCCCTTCAAACTTTCATCCATAATGACCAAAATGGTCCCTCTATCTCTCTTTTCTTTCAAAGCTAATCCATAATTTACCATTTACACCATGCTTCCTGAAATTCTTTTATATTAAGTCTAATACTTACCAAATAGCCCCTTAGCCTCCAAAACCTTTTCAAAATAAATCCCAAAATTACTTTTTAACCCCTGAATAATCCGATTTATAACATTTGGCTATAAAATAATATTAAATTTACATTTCGGGGTTCCGGATTTATTATTTACTTTTTTTATTTTTAAACGGGATGTTACAATACAAGTTGCTTATGTGATAGATCTATGTATTTGTGCATGTTATGTGTGTTTTCTAAGTTATATGTTATGATTATGTGAAGAAGCTTCAGAAATCTCGAAAACTCTATCAAATCTTGACAATATTTGTAAACTAAAACACTTATGCAACTTACCATAAAGATGAAAGTGTTAAACATGTTAAGGATGTTGAAAAACTAAACAAAATCTTGTAAATGGACCATTTTTGACAAATAAACAAAAAGATGAAGCTTTTATGATACTTACGGTTTTTCAAGGACCAAAGAGTCATTTTTGGATAAAAAAAATGGGTCTCTATGATATTCTTGGTTTTAAAAAGGGCCAAAAAAGTAATTTTATCACAAAATGGGCTTAAATTGGTCCTTCACGATTTTATGGGCCAAATTTGGAAAAATTATGACTTTTGTGGATTAAATTGTCATTTTAAACAAATTTGAGCCAAAGATGTTGCTTTTCGGTTAAAAAGGGTTGAAATTGCCAATTTTATTAAATTGGGCCGAAAATGTCAATTTTTATATAATTTGGCCGAAGATGTCAATTTTCATGATGTTGGGCCGAAAATGTTATTTTTAACAAAAGTGGGCTAAAAATGTCATTTTATTTGAAATAAGCCCATAAATGTAAACTTTTGGTCTTAAGGGACCTAAAGTGTCAATTTTATCAAAAATGTGTCTAAATTGTAAATTTTCGGCTTAATGGGCCAAAAATGTCATCATTACAAAAAGTGGGCTTTTTATGTCATTTTGGAAAACAATCGAGCTAAAACAAACAATGTAATAACAAACGAACTAAATACATCGATTACATGTTTATTGGGCCTAATACTCACATTTCATGTTTATTGGGCTTTAGTGGACTATACATTACATGTTTATTAGGCATGGACTATACATTACATGTTTATTGGGCCTTAGTGGTCCATTTACATGCTTATTGGGTCTGGAAATAACTTACAAGTTTAGTGGGCCTTAGTTGTCCTTTTACATGTCTGTTGGGCCTCGTACATTCACATACATACTCGTTGGGCTTTTCAAACATAAAACGTACACGGAAACATTATACATAACGTAATACAATATTCGCGTAAACTCAGTTAAGGATCTAGTGAGACATGTCAGTTGACACCTCTCGAGTGTACAATCGTAGCCTGTAGTTATAACCAGAGTCTCCTGGAGGGAGAGCGAGAGTTTGTGTATAGATCTATACGGGGTGACACCCCATACCTGAGCTGTTCGCTACAGTTAGACCAGATCAGTCTAGGGTGACAAACCTTACCTTAAACAAGTCGGCGCCTGAAAACGCCACGACAGGCGAATTCGTCATTATCAAGTATGGTTATAACGGCTCACATAGAGAATAACTCCATCATAAATTCACGGAATACATATAAAATCTTGTCGATACGAAAACATACATACACTGATATTCGGTCTTAGGGTTTTGAGACCACGACACTTTTACAAACAGAAAATATCGGATTTTCTGGGGAAACATACAGTTAAACAATACCTTCTACTTACAACATAAAATACATGATTTTTATCCGGATTACATTTTTATAGACATTCCAAAAACAGAAAACACACATGCATTAATACTTGATTTTGATACATCACTTTCAAACCATTTTACAGAAAATATCGGATTTTCTGGTGCTTTACGAACAATACAAAACGTTTTATTCAAACATGCTTATGAACTCACCAACATTATATATGTTGACATTTTCAAAATAACTTGTATTCTCAGGGAATCGTTAAGCGGAAAAGTCAACAAGAAAATGTGGAATTTGTCGTATTTTGTTACCATCATACATTGAATATTTTGGCATGTAATTTATAATACTATACTTGATGTAAACAATGATGGTTGTATTTTGATATGTATGATGATGATGTTGTCTTGTTTCAATTATATACATTGTGATGATATTACAAAATGAAGTCACCCAAGCTCACGGACGTTTCCGCCGTCTGGTTCGGGGGTGTGACAATTAGAAGTGAGGTGAGAAGCTTTTCCCATGCTTCGGAGATAGAGTCGAATGGTTTTACTCCATTCAAAGAAATTGAAGCCATTTAGTTTATTATCCGTTAGTCAAGCAGCAACCGTAAGCACATCGGGAATAATACTGTGGCTGCTACTACTACCAGCGGGCTTGATAACTTCTCCATACATTTTAAGATTCAAAATAAACTAGCCCCAAAATAAATTTCCAAAAAAACTCAGCAGAATAAAATTTCCAGATCTGAAAGGAAGAACGAACCAGAACCAAACAGGTCGGTTGACAAGATGCGAACCACGAAGGAGCTCAGAATCACCACAGAACAAAACCCTGAAAATCCGGTGCCGGAATCTGGCTCCACGCGCTCTCACGCGCCGGCGCGTAGCCGGCCGGCGGAAATTGGCGGCGGCGCGTGGGGAGTGTCAAGTGGTCGGAACGACGTCATTTTTTAAGGGAACCTTAGTCGAAGCCTTCTGAAAGCAGTGGTGGTGGCGGTGGGACGAGGATCTTTCTATAAACCGACGTTATCTTTCACGGCATATCTGAGTTGTTCTCTTAGGGTATAACACTTCAAAGCAGCCACATATCTAAGTTGTACTCACAGGGTACAACACGAAAATGCATTAATCTACTAAACTATCTCTGAATATATTTCTTACTTTCAATGTGAGGTTGAAGCCTCGTTAGATATACAAAACATTACCTAAAAGAGAACCTAGACAAATGAGTACTTTCAGAGTTAAAGAAACCCTATGCTACATGTGCATAAGAATAACTAAGCCTATTTAATTCTAACAAAGTCAATCCATTACACTTAGATATACTTAGTGAAACAATTCACCAACACATTGTTCCCGAGTTAGGAGGGAAAAGAACTTGGGGAACACAAAAACTTGAAATTTTCATTTCATTTCCTTCGAATTCGAGAATACGGAGTAAGAAAAAATTTTCTTTTCCTCTTTTTCTTTTTGTCAATACTTTCCTTTCTTTTATTGAATTAAAAAAAAAGTAAAGGGCCTCCCTACCAAGAGTCGTTATGGGTGTGTGACGAGAGGAGAGAGAATGTTGGATTGTGTGTTTTGATTGGTTGATTTTTTGTTTCTAATTTTTTTTCTAAAATAAAAACCTATTAAAATAATATATTACAACTATCTACCTTTTTACAACTTACATTCCTATGTGGCTTAAAAAAAATATGACGTGGCCTCAGAAAATCTTATGTTGCAACATGTGTAACTATGTTATCACTCTCTTCAATTTTAGAGAAAAGGAGAAACCAGTGAAAGAGATAAATAAATAAATATATAAATTTAGGAAGCTGTAAGATAAATATAAGGTAAAACCAGGAAAAAGTTACAAAAAGGGTAAAACTAATAAAATTTGCACAAAGGATTTTCTTGCAAATATCCTATTTATGGTTACTCGATTTATGTTTCTAGTTGATACTTGATACCATCCCAGATGCTCTATAGTTACTTCTTTTAGTCCCTCCCGGCAATTGTACTTTGTAGTGTTATATTACTCTTTGAGAAGACTGTTGAATGATGGTATCCATCAAGGGACAAATTAAAACAAACACCTTTAACAAATAGAATAGTAGAAAATAGACTTTATTCTCCAAATTTTCCCAATAGGCCTTTACTACTACAACTAGGGTTAAAAATCATCATATTGGTATATTACATGTATAATATAACATCTTGATTAATCCTACGTATTTGGGATATATGAAATCTCATCTCCACCTTCAAAACTGAAAAGTGTGCCATTATGATGAAAACTCTTTTTTTTTGATGTATCAACTTAAAAGCTCATCCAGTGTTAGCAGGCAGACAGTTAATGGCCATTGGAAGTCTTGTCTTGAATATGAATATGGTCTTCTTCTGACCTTGGCAGATACTCATGCCCCCTGCGATTTATCTCCTCTCTGCTTCAACAATCATAAATAAATAAATAAATAAAGGTAAACCGCATCCTAAGTCAACCCGCCCACGTGGGAGGCCAATCGCAGAACACTAGCAATATCGACTATCATATTAGACACTTAACTTAAGAGTGCAGTAGTGCACCAAATAAAATCAGATGTTATAAAGACTACGGGTGCATTTGGTTGTGGAAAACCGTTTTCAGTTTTTCAGAAAATGGAGTGGAGTTTTCAGTTTACAATAGAAAATTTCCAAAACATGTTTGGTTGTTTACATTTTCTATTTTAGAAAAGTAGAAAATATGTTTGGATGAGCATTTGTTCTATGAATTTTTTTATTTGAAATAATAAAACATTTGAAAAAAAATTCCAAGTTGTTTGTAATTTTGGAAAATGGAAAATATGAAAACCCAAAAGCATTTTCAAAATTTTCAGTTTTCTGGAAAAGTAGAGAATTTTGCAGCCACCCAGGCTGTCCCTAAAAGAGGATGGAATTTAGAAGTAAAAAAAGGAGAGAGTATAGTATTGGACCTGAGACAGTTCCAGACAGAATGGTAATAAAGAATAGCAACAATCCGGGGCTTTCTGTGTTGTTGAAGATCAAAAGAAGCAAAGGCACGCTGCTGCACCACAGGCAATTGCTTTATTTCTTTGGCCTCCATTAGCTTTTTAGCCATTGCCAAATCCGTATCAGGATAGCACGTTACCAGTCCACGCTTTCTCCCACGATAGCTTATCCCTCTCGTACACACACCAGAAACAGCACACTCGCTGAACTGCAAAATCATAATCATATTATTATTATATATATATATTTTTTTTCTTTTTTGTTAATTACACATACATCTGGAGTTGACGAGCCACCCTCGGAAGCTTCATCATAGTTCCTCATGAGGCCACGTTTGATGTCACCGTAGGTCAAAATCCCTTCTAAATGCTCTTCTTCAGGGTGGTTGTTGTTGTCTACAACCAGCACACAACTCTGTTGCCCATTGTCCATGCATTGTACAGCCTCTTTAATAGTCGAGGATAACTGGACTTTCAGGTAGTTGCTCGACATAGCCTGCGAAACCTGATTCACACCCACCCACCCACTCAGTGAACTCACTCGAAGAAAATAAATATAAAATAACTAAAAACCAACCAACCTTCAAATCCTCAAGAATGATATCTTCATCGATCGCTTCATGGTTCTCATCAGGCCCCATGATGCAAAGTTCCAAATCATCCGAGTCACCAGTCTGTCTCCAATTTTCAAATTTATCAACTGGTGAAAGCATGGCATAACCTCCTCCTCTTTCACCCTCCTTGGACTGGTTTGCCACAGATGGTACCCATATTGCTAACCCAACAGCCCCCTGAACTCAAATTATAAAAATCAACCCACCTACCCATAACTCGAATGAAAAAAATATATTTATCATTTATATTATTATACACTACTAATATACTGTAATTGATGCTTAAAGATGTAACAAATCAATTATTTTCATAATACACAAAGGATTATCACCTCTCTCTCTCTCTCTCTCTCTCTCTCTCTCTCTCATTTACAAGCTATATACATATTCGGTTAGTGGTTATCTGAAACCAAAAAGCATAAACATTACTGATAACCCAAACCAAAGTGATGTATTTATTTATCAAGCAAACCACACCTAGCCAATGCATACTTAGGCAACACCCAAATGACAAAACTGAAGAAGAGACTAGAGAGAGATATGTATTATTTGTTTGACAAAGTAGAAAAAGATGTAGGATAACCTAACAGATGTGGTGTGGGCAGGGCATCTTATGATGTCTGTAAAACAAGAAGAAAGGCATGACTGTGACCAAGTAACAACTAACAACTAATAACAACAGTTGAGATTCATTCAGGTAAAGCAATAGTTGATCAAGACATATTACCATGAGCGGAAGCAAGATTCTATAATCCTTTGTGAGCTCAAAGAGAAGTAAAACCGAAGTCAAAGGCACAGAACAAACTGAAGCCAAGGTTGCAGCCATTCCAACCTAGAAGAATCAATCAGTTTTAAGCTTAAGCACAAAGAAGAAAGCAAAGAAAACGAACCAGTGCATATGCTTGTGGCTCGGCAATGGCAGTGTTCCCTGGAATGGCGGAATTGATCAATTCTCCTGCTGAGCCTCCAAACACAGCACCCACGGCTGCACCTATCATCAAACTTGGAGCATACAAGCCACCAACAAGCCCTGAACCTTTGCATAGAGCTGTGGCCACAACTTTTGCTGCAGCCAACTGTGCTAGCAGCCATATTCCAGGGGCTGAAGCAATCTTCCCGGTATGTAAAATTTCATCGACATTGGTGAAGCCCCAGTAAAGGACTCCTGGATACTTGAGTGCTATTATCCCTGCTCCTAAACCACCTAAAGCCGGAGACACAATAGCCGGGAGCCCAAACCTTTCTTGGATATATTCAAATGCCTTGTTGAACCAAGCCACCAAACGGGTAAACAGTACACTAACCACTCCACATAGCATGCCTAGAATCAAGTACAGAGGCAGCTCTGCAGCAGATTTCAAATCATACGTGGGCACCGTGAAGGCCTGTTTCTCTCCAAGCACAGCATTTGAAACAGTGGAAGAGATAACAGAGGCCAGGATGATCATTGCAGTTGTGAATGGAGGAGAGTTTTCAGCGCGAAGAGGTCTTAAAACAGTCTCAATGGCAAAGAAAGAACCGGCAACCGCTGCATTGAAACCTGCAGCTATGCCAGCAGCCGCACCAGCTGCAACAAGAGCTATCCTGCGTTCCTTGTTGCTTTCCATCATTAGAGAGCATCCATTGGCACATGATTTTCCAATATCTACACTTGGGCCTTCAGGCCCCAAAGAACACCCCGTCCCTAAGGTTACAGCCGCTTGGATAGCCTTCACTATTGGAAAGAATCCAGATAGGAAATTCAAACCGTTTATTCCAGGACTTGACTGCTTTTTTATCTGCTCCAGTATCTCAAGCAAACCATGCAGCATCCCAACAATCACTCCTCCCGTCACTGGTATCAGAAGTATCCTATGCCACGTGTCCGCCAGCCTCTGTAACCGCAGCCAAGCAGCACCTTCATTTGGAGTCCCAGCCCAAGCCCATCCATGTATTACATGTACCTATCAACCAATATATATATATATATATATATATATATATATATATATATATATATATATATATATATATATATATATATTATTAGCTGCCTATCAACACTTCAATATTTATCATATCTATGAAAAACTAAATGCTGTACAAAGTTGGAAATTACCCCACGATTAAAGCCAGCCACACAGAGACCGGTCGCAAGCCCAAGCAGACATCCAATAAGCAGTAATGCCCATTCAGGAGGAGCACCGTCTCCAAGAATCTCATCATCACCACCACCACCACCATTTTCCCCGCCTCTTCTCGGGGAAATATGATCTCTAACTGACCGTCGTGCCCTAGGTGACCGCCGCTTGATACTAAGTCGTCGACCGGAAAACGCTCGATCCAGTCTATTCCATAGATCTTTGATGCTTTTTGTACTTCTTCCAGATGACACCTGCCCTTCCAAATCTTTGTCTGAAGACGACGAATTCGACCGCAACAGGATAGCGTGATCACTGTGATCGCCTCCAGACATATTCTTTCACGCCCTAACTTGCACATACACTAAAATACGAATCATTCTCCGATGCCTGCTTCGAAAATACCTCTAAATCGACCCGATCAAGATTTGGATCTTGTTGATCAATTCAATTGCGTTATATTTCAACTTCTCACAGCAAAATTATAATTAGTTTTCCCGTTAGATACAGGCAACAAAGATTTACCCTCTAAATTTGTAAAGGACAGCTGTAGGGTTATGGATCCGGCAAACCCAATGATGGTAGCCGGAAACAGATAAAAAAAAGGGGCCGAGAAGAAAATAAAATAAAATAAGGAAAAAGACGGTGACGGTGAATCGCTGATGCTTAATAATGGCGCTTTTGATGCAATCAAATTCAACAAAACAAATCCATACCATAATTCACAGGCTAACTAAAATATCAAAGTGGAAGTGGCATACACCAATTTTATATTTGTTAAAGGGAAAATTACTTAGCAATGTAATTAACTTTTTGGTATGTTTACATCTGGGTAACTATTTTTTTTTTTTTTACACATCTAGGTAACAAACTTGTTGGAAGTGTTCACATATGACCATTATGACCTGCTGTAGCAGGTTACATTCTAGATGTGAACACTTTCAACAAGTTCGTTATCTAGATGCGTAAAAAAAAGTAGTTACCCTGAACAAAACGAAAAGTAAGAGTAAATTACACGAATGGTTCCTATGGTTTGGGGGAATTTGTGTTTTTTGTCCCTAACTTATTTTTTTAACTTGGATGGTCCCTACTGTATATTTTTGTTGCACGTTTGGTCCCTGTCTTACCTAAAAAGACTATTGTGCCCTTATTAATTTTATTTTTTAATTAATTTTCTTATTTATGTATTTATTTTTTATATATTTAAAAAAATTAATAGACCTCACATATTTGTATCTTCTCACCGTAAACCTGAAACCACATTTGAGAAATTTAATTTGGGTCTCACCGGTCACCATCCTATCTCTCATCCTCCTCAACTTCTATTTCTTTTTCATCTTTAGTGACATTGACGTCTTCACCATGCTTCTTTTTTTGGTCCTTCAACTCTGGCGAACCAACACCATAACTCACTGTCTCTTCATCTTTAGTGAGTTTACTAGGTTGTGGTGTTAATTCGACGGAGTTGAAGGACCGAAAAAAGAAGGGATGGTGAAGACGTCGATATCATTAAAGATGGAAAATAAATAGAAGTTGAGGAGGATGAGAGATGTGATGGTGAGGAGATGCAAATATGTAGGGTTTATTAATTTTTTTAAATATATAAAGAATAAATACATAAATAAGAAAAGTAATTAAAAAAAATTAATTAATAAGGGCACAATAGTCTTTTTAGGTAAGACAGAGAGCAAACGCATAACAAAAATAAACAGTAGGGATCATCCGAGTTAAAAAAATAAATTAATTAAAAAATAAACAGTAGGGATCATCCGAGGAGATACATATATGTGGGGTCTATTAATTTTTTTTAAATATACAAAAAATAAATACATAAATAAGAAAATTAATTAAAAAATAAATTAATAAGGGAACAATAGTCTTTTTAGGTAAGACATGGACCAAACGTGCAACAAAAATAAATAGTAGGGACCATCTGAGTTAAAAAAATAAGTTAGGGACCAAAAACACAAATTCCTCCAAACCACAGGGACCATTCGTGTAATTTACTCTTACTTTTGGGTTTTGTTCATATTTGGGTAATTATTTTTTTTGTACACATCTAGGTAACAAACTTGTTGGAAGTGTTCACATATGACCATTATGACCTGCTGTACCCAGATGTGGAAGTGTTGGAAGTGTTCACATCTAGGTAACCTGCTACAGCAGGTCATAATGCTCATATGTGAACACTTCCAACAAGTTTGTTACCTAGATGTGTACAAAAAAAAGACAGTTACCCAGATGTGAACATACCGAAAAGTTAATTACATTGATAAGTCATTTTCCCTTTGTTAAATGGAATAAATTCATTAAATTTATCGAAAATCTTTGATTTTAGTCCCGTGTTTTTTTTTATTTATAATTTTATCATTACGTTTATAATGTTATTGCGATGTCAATCAATTGACCGGTTTTTCATGTTCTCTTGGTACCTCAGTGTCAGATAACCGGTTGTTGTCACGTTGACTATTATTTACCAATGTCAAGTGTGTGTATAATAAATATTATAAATCTTGTTTGTCCTAACTCCTACATACTTCGATAATCGATGAAGAGAAACCTCACAATCGAAGTGGGACATGGATGAGCCAACACCATTAGATGAAACACACGTTGATCCAAGGTAAATACTTTTGATTTCGTTGTTATATTTCTTTTCGTCTAGAGATGTGGTCCCAATTTTGATGTTTTTTAACATTCTTTGTATAAAGCTTGCAAGTTCCCATAAAACTCTTTCTTTTATGTTGTTCACACATCTTCACCATTAGAATAAGCTTAGTACTTCCTTTTTGTGGGTGATTGATGGACCCTTGAGCATTAAGTTTTATGGGTAAAAATCAGGAAGTATTTCATGTTTATTTTAACCTGCATTATGTTTTTGTGTTGCCTTTTCTTGGTTATGTCATCTTCCAAAGAAAACTATTTGGTATTTATAAATAAAATTTGAGACAATTCATATCTTATGTAATTCAACAACAACAGGAAGTATTCCATGTTTGACATGTTAATATAGTAAAATGGGGCTTAATGTTTTGCTTTAACATATTTTGTTTGAGTCCTTGATGCCAACCGTTGACCTTAACATATTATGTTTCCTTTTTTTTTCGCTCAATGTTTGGCTTTAACATATTTTGTTTCCTTTTGATTTATTAAAGTGGTAGAGGGTAACATTATGATTCAGATTTTGTAGAAAGTATTTTGGAAGGAGAAACATCTAGTCAATTAGAAGATGAAGCATTTGTGGTTGATAAGGAATTAAATGGCGATGATGAGGAAGGAGGCAGTTCTCGGCCTAAATATGTTGGCTTTAATGAGTTTATGTATTATATTTGCCATGTACTTATTACATAAAACGAAATTGACGATGAAGTAATTAAGGAGTGTGGAGCATTTGATAATGAAGGAAGGTTGGATAGGGGCATCGATGATGAGTTGGGTGAAAGAGCTACTTAATATGGTATGGGAAGTGATTTGAATATAACAATTTCTATCCATACACAACAATTCATGTTTTATGGAATTGTATAATACAATATTTTAATACATAAATTGTTGTGTATGGAAAAAATTTGTTGTGTACGAATCAGTTCCCCTATGGTATGTATAACCCTAGTATTGATTGGAAGAATATGAAACCACACATTAAGGATGCTAAACAATAGCAATTATGTAACATTCGTAAAATTCTTGAAAATTTTTAAACTTTTAAAATAAACCCCAAACCATCATTGTTTACAAATTGTTTTCAAAATAAGTTTCACATCAGAGAAATCCCAAAATCGTAAAACAAAATTTGAGGAGGTGTACGATCACGCCTTCGCCTTCCCGCGATCCTCGGAAGTACCTGAAACATAATCCAAAACTGTAAGCCCAAGCTTAGTGAGTTTCCCCCAAAATACCGATACATAACATATATCACAAATATAATAACAGCATACTTTGGGCCCAATCAACCATCAGGTTTGAATACCCCAGGCCCCTTGTAACGACCCAAAAATCAAGGGTAAAAATTTCATTTTTAGTATAACTAAAAACATTGATACCATTTAATTCAACATTCCAAACCATCGTTAAGTAAATCATTTATCAGAGTTTATCCCAAAATCAATCATTGCGGAAATCATAGGTGTGTGCACTGCGATCAATCCGAGCTCTTCTTTTCCAAAACGTTGATACCTGAAACCAAAACTGTAAACCGTAAGCACAAAGCTTAGTGAGTCCCCCAGAGCATACCCCACACACAATCCACATAACACATATCATATTAGCTATAAAAGTTATCTCTACCGCATACCACATATCAATTAGCTATAAAGCTATCTCTACCATTAGCCACGAAGGTTATCTCTACCCTTAGCCGTAAAGGCTATCTCTACCGTTAGCCGCGAAGGCTATCTCTACCGGCTATCTCTACCGTTAACCGCAAAGGCTATCTCTACCGTTAACCGCAGAGGCTATCTCTACCGTTAGCCACAAAGGCTATCTCTACCACGTACCACTGCATAAATATACCACACATCTCTACACAACAAGTATACTAACTATCATAAGATGGGCCGGCCTTGGTGCCTTAGACCCATTGGTATGGTGAGAAGACTCACCTCGCACTGCAGAAGCTTCGCGCATGAATTCCTTAGTTGCTGCCCCGCCAGCTTCCCGAGTTGTCACTACCAAACAATATACCCAATTAGCAATTGGGTCCCATACCATAATCCTTAATCCATGCATGGGGTAAAACGACCATTCTACCCCTGGCCTAGTATGATCCAAAACTAAGGCCCAAACCCAAAACAAAAGCCCAACATTATAATGTCCATAAAACCATCAATGGCCCAAAACATCTAACTTCTGATGGTTCACTAAAGCCCAAAGACCCAAAGTCCATTGCTTGGCCCAACCCGAGGCCCAAAACACACCAAGACCATAACTGATGAGTACGCCAGGCGTACTCTTCTGTACGCTAAGCGTACTGGCTGAATGGAGTGTACGCTACGCGTACCTGTATGTACGCCCAACGTACTCCTCTGTTAAGCCACTTTTCCATTAAGTGCTTAATACTCTACTCCAGAAACTACAATTACAGATCCAATTCCTCTTCAACGTCTTAAACCATAAAGTTGCTTACTTGATGGCTTTGCATGACCCACATAAGCTCAAACTCCAAAAATGATAATCTACTTCCATGAAAATGGTCTTAAATCATGCATGAATCCATTAAGACTTCCAATATGGCAATTTTCTGCCTCAGGGACTCATTTAACACTGAGAGTGGCAACTCAAAGCCTAAGAATCGGATTTCAACCATAAAGTTCCATCATTGGGACCAAAATGAACTAAAACTCACAATGATAGATCTAAGAGATGAATGATCAAGATCAAAGCTTTATACCTTCATCAAGCTGAGAATGAGTCCCAAATGCCAGATCCACAAGCTCCTCCTTGATTCCCATATTTGCAGCAAGTTCCAACTTCTTGAAATGCACTAAAAACCACCCAAAATGCACCCACAAAGCTCACAACACTCTTGGATGAAGCTACCATTCGAAATTAGGGTTTAAGGCTCTGAGAATGAAAGGGAGGCGCACCCCCTCAGACTTAAGGTGCTTTAAATAGTGAGCCAACCCTAAAAATTAGGGTTTTGGAGATCCTGGA